ATCCACTATGTTGCAGGGATTCACTACGATCCAAACTACAAATTCAAATAAAGATTTCGTGTTCATGGGAAATCACATGAAGGCTCAAATTGAAGGCATAGGGACTTATCGATTGATTTTGGAGACTGGACATCACCTTGATCTATTACAGACTCTTTATGTTCCTTCAATTTTTAGGAATTTGTTTTTCCTTTTAAGACTTGATGTTTCTGGATTTGATTTTAAGTTTGGACATGGATGTTTCAATTTATATAAGAATACTATTTTTTATGGTTATGGTGTTCTTATTGATGGTTTATATAAATTGAAACTCGATAATAATTTTTCTGAATCCCTGCTTACTATTCATCAAATTGTTGGAATTAGACATAGTTCCTAAATGAAAGTTCTGCTTATTTGTGGCATAAACGTTTGGGTCATGTACCCAAAGAACGATTAAAAGGATTAGTAAAGAATGAAATTATTTCGAATTTGAATTTTGTTGATCTTGATATATGTTTAGATTGCATTAAAGGAAAGCAAACCAAACATACTAAGAAATGTGCCACAAGGAGCACTCAACTTCTTGAAATTATACACATTAATATTTGCGGACCCTTTGATGTTCCATCTTTAGGTGGAGAAAAATATGTCATCACCTTTATATATGATTTTTCACGTTATAGATTTATCTATTTGTTGAAAGAAAAATCTCAAGCAGCGGATGCTCTGAAAGTGTACGTTAATGAGGTTGAAAGACAATTAGATAGAAAAGTGAAAATCATTAGGTCAAATAGAGGTGGTGAATATTATGGAAAGTATAACGAATCCGAACAATGTCCAAATCCATTTGCAAAATTCCTTGAGAATGGTGAAGTTAGTGGGAGTGTTGAACGACAAAGTGTGGAAATTAATGAGGTAAGGGTAAATATTTCATTGCCCATGAATGTACCTACTTCCACACCAATCACAAATGTTGTTCCTCTTGTTGAAGAACACTTTAACAATGTTGAACAACATTTGGGTGAAACACTTCAAAAAGGAATTAACTCACAAGTATCTGACGTAAATGAACCACAAATAGTGCCATTAAGAAAATCGGTCATTTCAGATGATTTTGTGATTTATTACAAGAGTCAGATTTGATATTATAATTAATAAAGATCCGGTTTCATTTTCACAGGCAATAGAAAGCAATGAGTCTAATAAATGGATTGATGCTACGATGAAGAGTTAAAATCCATGGAATACAACAAAGTCTGGGATCTCGTTTAATTACCAGAAAATTCTAAAAGAATTGGGTGTGAATGGGTCTACAAGACCAAACGCGATTCAAATGGTAATATTGAACGATATAAAGTCAGACTTGTTGCCAAGGGATACACTAAAAAAGAAGACATCGATTATAAAGAGACCTTTTCATCGTCTCAAAGAAAGACTCATTAAGAATTGTTTTGGCTTTGGTAGCTCATTATGATTTAGAGTTATATCAAATGAATGTGAAAACTGTCTTTCTTAATGAAGACCTCGAGGAGTATGTTTATATGGACCAATTAGAGGGTTTCAAATGAAAGAAAAAGATCAAATGGTGTGTAAGCTAAAGAAGTCAATATATGGACTCAAACAAGCCTCATGACAATGGTATATACAGTTTAATGATACCATAACATCTTTTGGATTTAAAAAGATTATCGTTGATAGGTGTATATACCAAAAGATCAGTGGGAGTAAGTTTATAATTTTAGTTCTGTATATTGATGACATTTTACTTGCTGCAAATGATTTAAGCATACTGAGTGAGACGAAAGACTTTCTCTCTATGAACTTTGAAATGAAAGATATGGGTGAGACATCCTATGTGATAGGGATATAAATATTTTGTGATAGACCACAAGGATTATTGGTACTGTCTCAAAAGGCTATATCGAATGAGTTCTAGAGAGATTTAACATGAACAATTGTTCAGCAAGAATAGTTCCTATTAAAAAAAAGGACAAATTTAATCTCATGCAATGTCCAAAGAATGATGTAGAACGAAAGGAAATGAAATCAATTCCTTAATCTTCTATTGTTGGAAGTTAGATGTATGTTCAAACTTGCACAAGACTGGATATTAGTTTTGCGATCGGAATGCTAGGAAGATATCAAAGTAATTCTGGAATTAATCACTGAAAAACAGCAAAGAAAGTTTGTGGCATGTTATGAAGCCACAATTCATGCATTATGGTTGCAGAACTTTATTTCAGGACTTGGGGTTGTCGACACCATTACCAAGTTGCTAAAAATTTCTTGTGATAATACTGCAACAGTATTCTTCTCCAAGAACGAGAAGTACTTCGAATGTGCCAAACATATGGAATTAAAGTACTTTACTGTTAAGGAAGAAGTTCATAAACAAAGAGTGTTACTTGAGAATATTACAACTGATCTCATGATTACAGATCCGTTAACAAAAGGCTTACAACCAGAGACATTTAAAGAACATGTTCAAAGAATGGGTCTTGGTTGTACTTATGATTGATTCATTTATGATGTTCTTACACTCTCAGCTCAATTATGTGTTTTTGATATATATTAATGAATTTCTTGTTTCTCATAATGGTGTATACATTATTGTTTTGAGATATTACAAGATAAGTCTCTATGAGACATTATTGTGGATCGTAATATTATATGTTTTTATAGCTTATGAACCTAGTATGATAAGTTGCTAATGTAGTAGTATATGGAAGGAAGTGTATAGCTTAAAATTTATGTACAACCGCCATAACTCGCATTAGTAGTTTGTTATATTGTGGTATGTATGATGTACATTATAGAAGAGATTTATTGTAGGCAAAAGGCATAAATTGCCCCCTAAACGTATACCAAAAAGTCATTTACACACTTTAACTAATGTGGTGACCTATTACACACCTTAAGTACATAAAAATATATTTATTTCCCCCTTCCGTCACCCAACCCAGGGCGCGTTTCGCTCCACATAGTTGAGCGCGTCAACACGCTAATAAAGTCATTTTTATTTATTTTTTTAATTAAAAAAATCTAACCCAACGGTTATATTCCCATTCCCTTCACATAACCCACCCACCCGACCCTAATGAACAAAAACCCTAAATTTTCACCCAAAAATCTGAATCAAGAACCCTAAATTCAAACATAGTTCAAAATTCCTTCTTTTGAATCAAAGGTAACTCTTTTTCATTATTATTCATTCATCTCTTTTCCATTTTGATTCATTTCTCTCTTTTTCATTTTGATTTGTTTCTATCTATTTCGTATTTTGAATTTTTAGTTGTTTGATTCGCGGTAATTCTTATTAAGGTGTTACAATGACTCGAATAAGCTTGACTAGGCTTTGTTTACAAGAGGAAGATCATGAATTGGAAGAGATGCGATGCAAACACGGATTTGTTTTGCCTTTGATGACCTCTTGGACCCCGAGAAATCCTAGTAGAAGATATTGGGGTTGTCCTTACTATGGGGTAAGTTAATCTTTTTTAAGAGTTGAATAATTCGTTTTGTTGTTTCAAGAGCCATAGAATGATTTGTTTTGTTGTTTCAAGAGCCATAGAATGATTTGTTTTGTTTTTTAAGAATGCTAGATCATGCGATTTTTGGCTTTGGAAAGATGATTATATTGATCCAAGATCCAAATTTGTGATTCCCAAGTTGTTGGGAAGAATTGCAGAGCTTGAACATAGTGTTGAATCTTCTCGAAAAGTTGAAACTTCGGATAAGGAAATCAACAAGCCTACTAAGTCGATCAAATCCATGGAAAGCAAAATAGATTTGAACAAGAAGGAGTCAAAAATGGACAATTTTGATGATGATTTGAAGAAGATGAAAGCAGTTGAAAAGAAATGGAAAATCAAATTGGCCAAGTCCAAGAAAAGGGAGAAATAACTTTGGATTGCTCTGTTGTGTGTTTGTATTTTAGGTGTAAGTTTAGTATTTCAAAGAGTATTGTTTCTGAAAGGAGAAGGACATTCAAGGAAATTGTCATGATCTCTTATTGTACCAAAAATTTGCAATATTGTGTTGAACTTGTAAGGCTTTTGTGTAATGAAAAGAATTTACAAAGCTTTTCTTAGCTTAATTTGTCTCATTTATTGTTGCAAGTATTTGATTTTGTATTTGGTCATAAACTATATATTTAGTGTGTACAACTATCTGCTCAATTGTCTAAACTATACGTTTGTGTAGCCACTGCTTAAGTAGTCACTTATTGCCCTCCATAAACACAGAAACCATCACTAAAAGAGAAGCAATGTTGTTACATAAACAGACATTCATAACTACATAATCATTAATCAAAATAGAAGTTAATATATGTCAAAGCAGTTACATAATCAAACACCACAAATCAAAATGCAGTCACAACTGCAATTCATTGTCTTAAATATAAGGGTACTAAATAGGGAGAAAGTGTATTGCATTGTCTATCACCCAACAAAACAAATGTCTACATTGCATTACCAACAAAAATCTACCAAAACAAGTTAGATTGCATTAGAGCTCTCTAGGCTCAAATGTGCAGCCTTAGACCTAGTCTCCATTTGTTTTCTTCCCCTCATCTCTTCAAGTTGGCTTGAGGTCATATCTTGTTTTCCCTTCCATTTCACACCACATGATGGTTTATGTCCAAGATCTCCAGTGACAACTGCTGAAGACTTCACATTTCTAAATCTTTCACTAGGCATTCCAGGCTGTTCAAATGAATATAAATAATCTTAATTTGTGATTAAAGAAAAAATAATAAATGATATTTAAGTATAGAAATAGGGAACTTACATTAATAATAGTAGCACCACTTTGTGTGTGTAGTGCACCCATTTCAACCATTCTTGTTCTGCTAGCAACACTACCCTAAAAAATAACAAAATATTCAGTAAAACAACTTATTTAAAACTTATACATGAAGTAAATAAAGGAATCTATATCACATTTTTTGTTGAACCCTTTGGTCTACCCCTTCCTCTTTCAGTTGGAGCATTAGGTGTTGCTCTTGGGCCAGCAATTTATGTTGATGTTGGTGCAGCAGCAGGGACAACAGTTTGTGTTGATGTTAGTGCAGCAGTAGGGCCAGAAGGAGGTCTTGAACTTGGTCCATCAGCAGGTTTTGAACTTGTGCCAGAAGCAGGTGCACCAAGAGGACAATTTCTTTTATTGTGACCCTTGTTATGACAAGTGCTGCATGACATCTCAATCCCTTTTTTGGATAATTTTCCAGTTTTACTAGTTTCACCTTGCTCTTTCTTCCTTTTCTTGCCAGGCCTTCCTGACATCTTCCTAACAAGAGGTGGTATCACAGAGATGTTTTGTGATTCTGACCACATTTTCAGATTCATAACTGGCTGAATGAAGTAGTTGTATGTCTTCATGTATGTTTCTTTGTTATACCAATGAGAAATGTAGTTGATTGGGTCCAATTTCCTATGGTGAAGAGCAGCTATTGCATGAGGACATGGTATGCCTTTCAACATCCATGCTCTACAGCTACATATTTGCCTTTGAATATCAACTACATGTCTGTATGGTCCATGAAGTACCTCATACCCTGTATCTGAATTCCATTTAATGCTGCATTTCATAGACTTAGCTGTGTTATCTTGTAGAACCTTTATTGCCATTGGAGAAATGTCGCATATCCAAATATTGCAAAACTCTCTCATCTGCCCTATTCTTTTCATCATTTTCACCCTAATTTCTTCAAGCATTGTAATTATAGTCTTATGCCTTGCTGCTAATATCCATGAATTGAAACATTCAGCCATGTTATTGTCTACAACATCACATTTTGAGGTAAAATTGAAGTAAAGCTTGCTCCATCTTTCAGGATTATAATACAACAAGTGATCAACTATATTATTTCCCAACCTTTTCATATAACTAATGTTATCTTTTAACTCAGCCTCAAAAGTAGACCTTGCACACCTCCAGAAACATTTTTTTCTCTCAAGACCTCTCCATCTCTTTGACCAGTTAGCAAGGATGTGTCTAGCACACATTCTATGCTCAACATTTGGCAAATGATCAGTTATGGCAATTTCAAGACCCTATAAGAAAATTCAAGACATAAAACTAAGAAACTAAGACATTTATAAATAAATGGCATTCAAGACATGAAATAAATCAAAAAAATCAATAAATATTCTAACCTTTTGCATATCTGATATGATTGTGAGGTCTGTACCATCTCCCAACTGAAGATCTTCCTTTAGAAGTTTGACAAACCAAGCCCAAGTAAACTTATTTTCAACTTCAACTACTGTCCAAGCCAGTGGTAGCATTTGATTGTTCTCATCTTTACAAATAGCAACCAATAATTGACCTTTAAATACTCCCTTTAGAAAACAACCATCCAAACCAATGCACCTCCTACAACCAGCCAAGAAGGACTTCTTCATTGCATCAAAACATATGTAGAAGCCTTGAAACATTTTTCTACCTTTTTCAAATGTTTCTTCATGAAACTTGACTACACATGTACTACCTGGATTAGTTCTTAGCAACTCATCTTTATAGTCCAAAATCCTCCCAAACTCAAGAACATAGTCACCCATTAACTCCTGTAATACTTTGTTTCTTGCTCTTCTACACACTGTTCTTCCAACATATAAATCCAATTCTTTTTTAATAAGCCCTTGAAACTCAAAGACTCTAATGTCAGGTTGTTCCTTTATCCTTTCACTATAGTGACTAGATAAGAACTTGCTATTACAAAGTTTGTTCCTATTAGTAGGATCACATTTGTGAACTGGATTGTATGTCTTTACAACAAAATTATCTGTCCTAGAATCAAAGCTAGCAAATAAAACCCAAGGACAACCAACTGTACACCTAACCCTTACCATTGTTAGTTCATTAATATACATTTCAATTGCAACATGTTCAGCAACAGCATATTTGGTAATAGCAGATCTAAACTCATTAACACTTTCAAATACAAGACCCAATTCCCACACTACTTTCTGAGAAGATGCATCAAATACAACTCTATTCACCTTCTTTCTCCTTCTTGGCTTAACTCTCTCTCTTTGCTGAACCTCTTCATCATCATCACTGAAAGCATCTGGATCTGTTTCAAAACTGGCAGCTTCATCTGAGGGATAATAAGGCTCATCACCAGCTAACTTGCCTTCTAAGTTATTTCTATTACCACCTGTAGATTCATGATACCCAGCATCTGGCCCTTTTTTTTCTGTTTCTAACTTGACATGATCAGGCAATGGAGCTCTTTCTCCCCTTTTTCTTCTCTTTCTTTTACTCATTTCCTCCCTAAAACTTCTTAGTTCATCATCTACATCACTCCCATTAAATCCCCCCCTCCCCATTCAATGATTCTCTATCTGAATCTTGTTCATTAAAAGGATGGGCAGGGTCAGGAATTGGATCAGAGGAAGGATGAACATGGTCAAGAGTTGGATCAGTAGAAGGATGGATAGGGGCAGGGGAATAAGCAGGGGCAGGGTTTGAGGCAAGGTTTGAGGCATTTTCTTGGGCCTCATGTGTGGCATTTTCTTGGGCCTCATATGTTGGTTCTAATTCAGCATCAAAAGATGCATTAGGCCCACTGTTTTGTGATGCTCCCTCACCTACTCCACTTTCCCCATATTCCAATAAAGGTGGGACCAAAACAGGATCAGCAACAAAGTGACACACAAAACAATCCAAAATATCTCCATGACTCAAACACTCGACAATTAAAGTAGTGTCATAGTCAGATTTGATTTCTAACATAGCAGTACTTCTAGGAAGTTTTACATACAACACACATTGTCCAGGTTCATACCCAACTCTTTCAGACAATCCCTCAATTCAAAATAAGATAACCTATCTATATCAACATCTAAAAACTCATAAACTCCTCCACCATGATATGGTTCCCCTTGTATTCCTTTTTTCCAATCTTAATAACACCACCGTGGTAAAATCTCAAAGTAATCAATTCAAAAGACATTTTAACCTAAAAATAATGTTATCAATTAACCCTCAACAACAACGACAAAACATATACAACAACAAAATTCATACAACAACAACGGGGAATCATGTGAATGAAAGACGACATACAGTAAACTTGAAAAAAAAAATAAAGACGAAATTACCCTAAGCTAAAAAGTATGAACTATGAAGTAACCCTAGAAATGTTTGACTGACCTTTCAAATATGGAGATGACAACAAATTATAAACGATGAACGCCTCGATTGTACCCACCAAACCCTAGTAACCACTGATTTGCTTCCACCAAAACGATGAACGCCTCGATCGACAATGTTCTTCAAATATAACTACAAGGATGCTTCAAAAACACCACAAAATCGAAGAAATCTTTAGCTAAAATTAGGATTTACAGATGAATTTTTTCGATTAGGTTTTGGTGTTCTTAGAGAAAGGAAACGGGTGGGTGAAATAAATTGACTAGGGTAAAATAAAATGGATTTGGGTGAAAAAAATCGGGTTTGGGTCAAAAGAAACGGGTTTGAGTCAAATGAATCGGATTGGGGTCTTTTATTACGTGGCTTAACTAGGAGGCGAGTGGCTTTCACTCTAGGCATAATGTCCTGGGTTGGGTGACGGAAGGGGAAAATAAATATACTTTTATGTACTTAAGGTGTGTAATAGGTCACCCCATTAGTTAAAGTGTGTAAATGACTTTTGGGTATACGTTTAGGGGGTAATTTATGCCTTTTGCCTTTATTGTATGCACAACTAATGTTTATTAAATATTAATGTTATATGGTCATTGGGCCAAGTGGGAGAATGTAAGAATTATTATTAATTATTTCTTACTTATGGCCCAAGTTTACTTGTAACCCAAGTAATACCATAAATAATATTTAATAAGGAATAGATCTCGTCCGTACATTGGTTACTTGATGGATGTACCAGATTAAGTCATAACCTCTATAAATTGGTCCTCCATTCACCCATTAGGGTTACCACATATTCTCTACAATAATTTCATTGCTGACGGTTGTGGTAATGTAAAGTTAGGGCAAGGAGGTAAAAACCAATTTACAACTAATGCTTTCGCTCCTTTCTGTGATGATGTCTTCCGCATCATGTATGTTCCCCTAACAATCTCTACGTAAGATTATCGTGTTCAAGATTCTGAAAGTATTTAATATTACATTAATAGCTTATTTAGCTAAGTTTTTGAGAAGTCAAAAATATTTTTAACATTGTTTGTGAAGTGTTCCTTCAAACTTTTAGAGAGAAAATAAGTGATTTTAAATAATAGCAAAAAAATATATTTAAAAGCTAGAAATATTAGCTTTTTCTCAAAAGCACTTTTAGCATATTTGTTAAACATAAATTACTGCTTTAATATTTGAAAATGTTTTTTTTTTCTCAAATTGATTAGTCAAATATAAGCGACTACTCTAAAAAAGAAATAATACTTTTTCAAATAATACTTCAAAATATATTTTCCAAAGTAAGTAAATTTTAGAAGTTTGTCAAATCGGCTATCACTAAAAGTTTGCAATTTTTTTTTAGTTTAGAATGCATAATGACATTGTCGCTTCTCCTCTTCTTATTCCACTTTAGGTTTTTTTGGGCTTAAATGTTATTTTGATTTAAAAATATTTGAAATAAGTTGATTCAACAAGCTAAGGTCTTTTTCTTTACAAGTCACACATGTCAACCAGACAACAACATAGAAAAGCATAAAAGGAGCTATAAGCCTTCATGCTCAAACAAACATGACAATGACACAAATAGGTAAAACTCCTAACTATAGCTCTAATATAAGAGAATATATAACACAAAATAATGCAACTGCGATAAAATAAGCTGGGAGATTAAAGAGAATCAAGCATTATTATTAGCAACCAAACGGAAATTAAAAAACATGAAACTTCTCAATAATACTTAAACCTAATTACTAATTGATTTATCCCCTAATTCTGAATAAAAAGGTTCAAAATTGAAAAATTAAAAAGGGGTAGAACTGGTAGCCTAAATGTTGAACAAAGATGTCTATGATGTGATTAGATTGAAATTTTTATCTGTTCATGCCAGTAGTATTTTTAACTGCATCGGCTGCCCCTTGTGCCGTGGCCTTTATTTGGTTTGATATGTTTTTGTTTAAGATGTTGTAATTATAGATGACGAAACTCATTTGGTGTTTGATACCTGTAAATTTATAAGTTAAAAATACTTGATCACATTAAAATATGATTCAACGGCCCTCAAGACTAGGAGGAAGTTGCATCTTGCTAGCAATTCCTTGTGTGGCTAAATTAATATTGTATGAAAATTTCCAATACCTGACTTATAAGAAATGTTATAAATGACTCTCATTCTTTTCGTTAAGGGTGTGCATAATTTGGTAAAAAAAATTGGTTCAAATAAAAAATTTGAAATAAATCAACTAAACAAAATGATAATTGTTTGAATTTAGTTGGTTTAGTAAAAAAAACTATACTATTTGGGATTTCAAACTTATATTATTTTATTGTCTATTTTCATATTCTGGCTTGTTTATGACTTTTGAATAATGAATTGGATACTTATACGTCTTGTAGGGTCACATAACGGATTGAAGGTTTGACATTATCACGACTTAAGTACTATTCTAAATATTCAACACCAAAATTATTTTGCCACGCTACTTTCATATATTGGTAAGGAGACGTAGTTATGAAGGATATGTGAAGTAATTAGGTCTTTTAACTTCAGCAAATTTGAGGTAAATTTGTGATAAATGAAATAATTTGTAGGGATTAAAAATTACGACTTGATTGTCTTGCTGACTTTGTGAATACTTGTGATTTTGGCCTAATATTTGTGACTCCATCCAAACACAATTTTTAACTATTACTAGTTATGAAAACTCCGTGCTATGCATGCCTAATATTTGTTCATAAATTTATTTTTTAAAGGTATTAGTTAAATTATATGAAATCATCTCATTAAGCGTAAAATAAATACTTGATAAATATTATTAATATTTTTAAATTTTAAGTGGTATTGATTAAATGATTTTAATTTTTTTTCTTTGAAATAAAATAAATTATAATATATATTTGTGTAGTAGTAAATTATAACGACCCGCTAGGTCGTTTTGAGAACTAGGACTCTTTTGACTTTTCCCGAAACTTTTGAATGGGAAATTTTAAATTATTCAGTAACTACGAGTAATTAGTTGATGAATATTTAGCAAATAATTAATATAGTTAATAGTTAGTGGGCCAAGACCATAACCACTTCATTTAATACCATTTACCCTTGACCCATATAATTAAAATAGATTAGTGGGGTTTATTTTAGAAAAGAAAGTAAAGGAGCAGTAACTGACCTGTGCGGCGGTCGAACATAGAACAGAGAGGAACAAAGTGCTCCAGGTAAGGGTTATTTATCATTCTCATCGGGAAAGGAAATTGTTGATTTGAGATGTATCATTAATTGTTATAAATATTTTGGTACAAGGAAATTAAAATAAGTGTGCAGGTATCTACTAAAGTAATAGTAATCTTCTCGCCTGGTTAAAATTTAAGAACCATAGGTTGTATGTTTGGTTGTATAGGTATAGGCCACCGTCATCTATTATTAAATTGTGAAAGGTATAAGCCATTATTATTAGTTAGACAGTTGTTGTTGGAAAGGAATTGGAATGACAATTTGGGTGCAATTGATTTTAAAAGAATAAGGTATTAGTTGAGTGGATAATCATGCCACAATGACGGCTAAATGTTTGAGGGTATATAATAAGGGAATTATGGGATAATTATTAGAGAGGATTATGGTGTTATATCAACAATTTGATGGAATCATGACTTTACTCTTGGTTTCTGTGATGTCCGTAGCTTCAGTATGCAAGGAAATTCTTTAATATACATTTAGTTCTTAATATCATTTGGGTACTGTCATATTCCTTTATGTGTTACGGTTATTTATCCAAAACAGAAGTACAATAGTATGAATGTTTATGTACTCGTTTACTTATGAATAATGCAAAATTTATAGATTGGGAACGTTTGGAAGTTTTACGAAAGGAAAGGGTGAAATCTTGAGGATTCGTGACACGTGTTTGGCATTCAAGGTATGTTAAGACTTTTAAACTTCATTGAAGGACATTTTCCTAATTAAAGATTTAAAATCGGAATAGACAATGGGTAAGGGCGAAATATGGGGGTCTCGTACCAATGGTGTGACGGGCATTGGTACGAGTACCGGTGTTATAAAGGGAAAGTTTATTACTATAGAATGTGGATTTTAATCCGAGAATGCCAAAGCATATGGGCATTAGCTGATATAATATTG